ACGACAACAACAACGACAACAACAACGACAACAACAACGAAAACAACAACGAAAACAACAACGACAACAGCACCAGCAGCAACAACAACAGAAAGTTTTAACAGGAGCATCATCGGAATCGGTTTCATATACGGTAGTTGCAATTTGCAGATGACTTTTTTTTCAAATGTTGAAGAGTTAGGAAAGTGACGAGACAGGTAAGTTAGAAGACGAAGAAAAAAAGGAATAGTTTCGATGATTCCTTGCATTTTAAGCCAACAAAAACTTTATTAATTGCTTCTTCATTTTGGTTGTGATACAGTTTTCAGTTTTCTTATATGCTTCACATAATTTAATAGTTATAACATTATAATTAATTTCCAATTTCTATTTGAGCTGCAACTTTAGCATACTGGAAAGCGTTAGGGATATTTTATTCTTTATCAAAAAATTTTGCTATATTTGTGGTCAGCGTAATATGAAATTTCTATGATATATTCCTTGCACTCGGGGTCAAGTGTTGAATAAGATTAAAGAGAAGGATTCTTCCTGGATAGTTATTTTCTTCCATTCGTATTATTTTCAACATCATAAAAACGTAAAACAAAAATTTGAATGACCAAAGTTTTAAATAATTTTTATGCTACCCTAACTAAAAAAAGATATTTTTTTACCATCAAGTTCTCGATGGTAAAGAAATATCTTAAGAGTGAAAGTTTATTAGAAATAAATAAGACAAAATAGATCCATTTAATAACATAAATTTTTTTCTCACCACTTTTTTTATTAGATATGCAGTAAAAAATTTGAAAGTAAAAAACAGTAAGATGACAAAAATGACGATAGGTGGAGATGTTTGAAATGATTGTAACATGACATGAAAGCAAATTTCTGTAGCAGAATAATGACCAGATGCTACGACACCGAAATTTGCCTATTGCATCTGTAATGCATCATCAGAAGATGGTCAATGAAATCCATATCGTGGATACTGCTAGGCACGTGCCTTTTCCAAACAGTAATTCTTTCCAATTTTCAATGAATGAAAATAGAACTTTACTGGAATCAGGAATTCTTCCCCGAATAAACATTCATCACGACCCATTCCCTTCTGAATCCCAGTCAGGTAAAGGAATCGTAAAATCTGACGCAGTAGCAAATATAAGGCAAAGAGAACAACAGTTACTAGAATTAGCCACTCTCAAATTGGCATTTCTTCAAACAAAAGTTCCAGCTTCAATCGTGTCCAATAAACAATCACTGAATACTTCCAAATCATCCACACATTTATCATCTCTTCCACAATTTGTATCACCACATACCTCGTAAGTTATTTGCAATCATAATTTGAAATTTAAAATTCACACAGATAATGCAAGAATACGATGAGATCGTTTGTAATTTATAACTTCTGTTTAAGTTATTAACTGTTTAATATATATTATAAACTAATTTTCCAGAGAACGATTATCTGGGATTCAGCCTACGGCACAACGACGAAAACTTAAAATATCACGATTACCAATCCTAACAATCGTCACACCTGAACCGAACAGTCCAACGCAACAGTTTGCGCCGCAAATATCACGCACCAATACTCTCCACAGAGCATCTCTTGAACCAGTTTTAGCATCTCAAACAACGACACTACAACCAGCTCACATAGCTCTAAAACAACAACATCAATCTCTAGTAGCTACGAAAGATATTGATGAAAAAATTTTACTTGTTAGTTTTTATCTTCATAACACCTAATAAAATATTTTTAAAATTTTGATAATTCCTCATCTCCTGTATGAATAATGTCATTACAGAGTACTAACGATGCATTCTTGGAATGTTGCAAACAGAAAAATGTCGATGTTAAATGTGAATCACGATGTAATTTCGACATTCTTGATCAAAGAATGGTAAACATTGATTTTTTAAAATAATGTTTCACTTCTTTTTCTATTTTATTTAATTTTATTTTTTTATTTGTGAACAATTAATTTACTTAATCATATATTATTTTATCATTAACAAAGACTTTTATAAATCATTTCATTTGTGTTTAATCGTTAATGAAATCAGTGATGGAAATTAGCCTATGTGTATTATCATAACACATCAGAGTAAGCATTATCTTCCGTGATAAACTTACTGCGGAGAGTTATCCTATTATTTTATGCACGACCAATTTGAAAATAATTAATTTCTTATATTCAAATCAGCAACTTTAGTTAGAAAATAACGCTACCTGAAGAGTGTAGAAATGTCATGAATTTCGAAAGCTAACTGCGACATAAAGACTAAAATGTAAGCACACAGACACTTTAACACACTTATATCAATAATTTGAAACCGACAAATAACACATAAGCTTATGCAGTGGTCTTTAGCAACTGAAAGTATATTAGATGGAAGGAATTAAAAGATTTCTATCAAAGAATACTGGTAAGTGCAACTACAGCATTTTAGAATTAGCTTTCCATTTTCTGCAAATCATTTCCTTCTCTTTCAATTACTACACGAAATGAATATATTAAATTTTGCGAAGACTTTTTACAAATTGCAGTTGACTGCAATGTTTGTTGGCTCAGATCCATGCCCTCGAAGTAACGGTCAGAGGTTATTATCATGTGCTGCTCAGGATTCTGATCATACTAATTGCTGCCGCGCAAATGGCGTGCAACAAACAGCTGCTGGTGACAAATGTTTAGGATTCTGTCAAATGACTCCCGAATCCAACTTTCAGGTTTCATGATCGATTCTGTATCTAATTCATCATTGCTACGATATATGAATTTAAGTATTGAAGGACACTTCTAGGATTCATTTCAGTTTAATTTTGTTTCAATAATCTTAGGATGTATTTTCAGAAAGAATTTCAAAAAAAAAAAACAATTTTTTCAGGCAGATATAAGTATGCTGCCATGTTGGGGTGTACTCAACGAAATCAAAGAATGCTTTCGTCTTAATCTTATTGAAAAGTACAACATAAAGAAGGTTGCGTAATTCCAAATCGAACAAATTCATAACGTATCAAAAGCCTTCCGATTCTGATTTCATGTGAACTAGAATTCACTTTTTTGTTGAAGTCTTTTTCCCTTAATTCTACTTCAATAATTATAAAGTTTTAAGCATTACTGGTCCCAGACTAAGATGAGAATATATTACGGCAACATCCAGCACAATATTTCATAAATTCTCAAAATCCTTGTTTTTGCTATTTGGATTGCTTTCATTACTTAGCTCTACAAACCACTTTGCATCATCAGAAAAAATATTTTCTATGCAACTAGGTTTTAATATTTTTATTTAAAATAACCAAAATGAAATTATGAATGATTAAGGGACAAAATTAACAAAATATTCGATATCAATGTTCGCAACATTCGATAGTGATTCATCGTTTTAGCCTCTCTTTACTGTCAACATTCAAGTAATCTTCATCAGCAATATTTAGCATTAGACCACCGGACGGTAGATAAACCTGCAAGTTAAATGAATTGTTCAAATTAAGATTTAATAAGTTCCATATGAACTAACTGAGAACATACCAATAACAATTAAGAAAGATAAGAAAACTTCTGATCATTCGAAAATAAATTTTACAACTGTTAATAATTTTCGAGGATTTGTTCGAATAAAAAAACCAACTTTGTTGTTTGCTGTTTCTGATATAATTTTTGAGATTTTTTGAGCTGCACGAATTTTACGCAACTTCAAAAAGCCCGGGTCTCGTTTAATTGCTTCGCCTATCTGGAAAACACTTCCTGATTGATGAAATGTGCAAAATAAAAATTTGCACGGATATAACAAAGATATAAAACTGTGCACATGTTCTAAAAACATTCATATTTTGCCATTTTCATATGTAATGTCTTCGTAGCTGTACTTCTGTGATTTTCGTCGTTTTTTACAGCGAGAACTTTCGAGATGTTCAGTTTCGCCAAGATTAACGACGTTTACATAAAATAAAGAAAGAAGTTTAGGAATAAAGTTTCAAAAAATAAAGAAATCAACTAACAAGTTTGGCAGACTGAGCTTCACCCTCAGCTTGAACAATCTTTTCTTGTCTCTGCTGTTTTGCTCTTTCAACCAAAAACGATGCACGTTGAGCTTCCTGAGCAGCAACTTGTTTCGCTTCTACAGCAGCAGAGTACTGTGGCGAAAAAGCCAATTCGGTGATTGCCACATCGTCCAAAATAATATTGAAATCTAGCGCTCTCTCTTAAAAAATTTCGACAATTAAATAATCATAATCTCTTTGAATGTTTTGTATCCATAACCTCTCATAAACAAAACGTCAAAACGAGAAATGAATATCACAGAAGTAACAAAAAACACTGACAACTATCGAATGAAATTATAACACTCACCGATCAAGCTCTTACGAACAAGTAAAGAAACTTGCTGTCGTTGTGTTATCAGCTGGGAAGCGTTAAATTTCGCTACAACACTTTTCAGTACCTACAGAAAAGCAATCCAATCACATAAAACAGGGGAGTTTTATAAATAATACGCAAAAAAACAGGAGTTACTGCAAACTTGCTTCCAATCACTGAGAAAGTTCTATGAATGTTCAGAATATTATAAAGCAAAAATTTCATCTTGGTTACATTTAAAAGGTTGTATAAAACTTCTGTCGATAGCTACTGTGTTAAACAGTACTATAAATATGAACATTTCTTCAATGCCTTTACACATTATGACGCATTAAATAAAAAACAAAATTGCTGCCGCGAGCTTGCCAGTTTTGGAATTGTATTTTACGGCATTGTAATGCTTGAACTTTTGGATCACAAACCTCATTGCAGATTGAAGGTAAAATTCTTTCCTCCCAATTCTGTCCTAGCATGCGATATATTTTTGGTAATGTTGAAGGATCGGGGCGTGAAAGAACGCGTAGACCAATGTTCACCATCTGAATGTTCCAACGTAAATAAGCAACTGAAGCATCTGCTTTTTGAAGCATACAATAACTTAAAAAATAGCATCATTGTAAATGTAACTGGATAACAAATATACCTATTCAGAAGAATGTTTCCTGAAGCAAACATGAAGTGCAAAAGAAAATATGCTACTCAAAAATGAAAAAAAACCTGTAAATCTTTGCTTCCCGTTGGCGAACGAATCTGGTTGGGACGAGCACGAATATCGTATATAATGGGGTATTGAAACCATGGAATTCGGAAATGCAATCCTTCTTTATAGACAACATCACCAACACCACCAATTCTATTGAACATTATTGCCCTATGCCCAGCGTCAACTACAAATTCTCTCTTAAATATCAACCGTAGCTCGACTTTAAAGTTGCATAAACTCCTCATCTTTTTACATGCATATAATCTGGAAGGAGTTGTTGCAGGGTGAATGCAGAACTGTCAAGTTCTCGAAAAGAAAGCGCTTGTAAGCGAGAAGGCAGGATTGGCAAATTCAATAAATGTGAATTCTTTTTAGATGTCCGCAAGATCTTTCTACTTACTTTAGTAGGAAACAGTGAAAAAGTACCAGAAAAAAGTGATTCCTTTACGCCGAAGCCAGCAGCCACGGTACCAGCTATAAGAGCGAGACCTTTCGGACCAACATCCAACAATAATTTTTCGAAATTAGCCATCTAAACGCTAAAAGATTTCAAGAAATTCTTTAACTGTATAAAAAAGTTGAAAAATTAGCTTAATAGTACGCATAATAAAAGAGCAGAGGAAGTACCTAAATGATGTCTCCACTGCTCTACCGGAACTTAACACTGTAAAGAATTCAACTACGAGAAAATATGAAAAAGCGAACTATAGAATCAGGTGCAAGTATGTGAAATAGTACATGTAGTTATTAAAAAAAAAAAACTATTCTATAAAATTTTTATTAATGTATTTCTACAAACCAACAACACACATTCACATAATTATCAAATAACATTCTTCGAACTCTTTATTTTGGACCTAATAAAGACTGATGTCTAACAAACCAAAAAAAAGATAAATATGTGCATATTTCAATGGCAACTAATACAGATGATTTGAAACATTCACTAAATCAACTAGGTACAAAGCATGAATAATAATAATTTTCAGCGATTAAATTTATTTTGATGAATACTTATCAATCCTCCTTTTCATCAATCTGTTTAATCTAAATGATGCATTAGCTAACTGCTGCACTATTACATACGCTTTCTGGCTTAAAGCAATGATGATTTTAAATGCTTGTCTCGATATACGATTTCCACTGATAAGCATTTCTTTACCGACAAATGCAGTTGCGATCTAAATTTTACAAATGTTTCATTAAAAATTAAATGTGATTCATAATTTGTTTAACAAGAATATCTTATCATAAAACGTAGAAGTATGGAGTGATGTGAAGAGATGGTATCCTTTTATAACGAGAATATTTACTGAAAAAGTTATCTGCAGCGCAGGAATATCCTCAAATTACAGAACATTTTGCTGCTCGCTAGGATGAAAGCGAAAATAGTACTCATCATTTAATCTTTTTCCAAAAGGTTGAACTTTTGCAAATTAATTTGACTTGAATTTTTCTTTTCCAAAAAAGTTGTCTTGCTTGACAATTTACAATGACTTCAAAATTACCAGAAATCGCGTTATTGTTGCAGAACGGATAATCTGTCTGAAAGTGGCAGGATACGAAAATATAATTTCTGCCCATGTATCACCAGTCCATAAGCCTAACCCTCGACGATTAGCAATCTGAAGAATTTCTACACAGATGATAAGGGTGGTTAGATGCCTAGCTAAGGAAGTTTACAGAATACTCAATCTTAATTTGGAAAGACTCTCAATACTTCTGTGTTTGATTCTCAAAGCGCCGTTCTTTAGTTATTCATAATACAAAAAAAAACCTTTTCAGACATAATTAATTTTGACATCAGTCTCGAATACGAGGGATTAGTTTTCAGCGCATTCATATGTTCTGGATTACTTAGTGGTATTACACGTGCAAAACCCTGACGTACCAAATCCACATTTAAATTTGTTTGCAGAAATCGCTTCTGGAAAGACTGCATGAAGTAAAATTGTGATAAACTTGCCATGCAAGTATGTTAACTTTAAAATTAGATTACATTTTGAAACAAAAAATTAGAAAACTGAATGACTGACCCTCAGCAAAAAAATTTCAGCATCGATACATCTGCTGTTTTCAACTGGCTGAATGGCAGAAAATATTATTTGACTACCACGCAGACGCATATCTTTTGCAAGATACTCCGAACCAGCATCCGAAACATCAATACCCGCAAGTCGTAAATTCAGCAATCCAGGCTACATAATTTTCCAAAGTAATTCGAAAGTACTTTAATCAGGAAGACTTGTCTAAATACAATTTTCTCTATCTTCGGTAATCAAATAAAAGTTATAAAAACTGTTCAACTAATTCCTTCTTGAAAATAGTTAGTATAATCTATTTTCAAATTCAAAACATTAAATTCATGTGTTACTTGGATGGGCTTCTTTCTGGCAAGAAATTTCGGCATCGTGAATGCTGGTATATGCTCAATTTTCATATAACCATTAGAATGAACAGCACGAACAATTCCTTTCAGTTCAATTCCCTTTTTATATATCTCAAGCGGTATCTCTGATACTTTTTCATACTTCGCAAACTGAAATTCGTAAAACCAAACCGAGAGATAGTCTAACACTTTCCACCAATAATTAATAAGATAACTGTTTCAAAATTTGTACAGCATACATAAAGAAAAATAACGATTCCGTTTAAAAATTGCAACCGCTTGGTTCAATAATTTTCCTTGATAAAACTGAATAACAATATACAACTAAGCGTTAATGAAAAATAAGTAAATTTCACAATATAACGAATGATTTCCTTCTCAAAAAGTTTCAAGAAAACAATATGAAATGATAAGGGAAAAAGATCCAATATCTTATAGCAGCTTAAAATTACTCTTGTGACAAAAGCTTAGAAAGTACCATCCGTGTTCTCCGAACGAACAGGATAATGCCCAAAATTCCTCCGCTGTAAACAACGCCCTGCAATAAGAACACACCACGATATTTTGTTGAAATGATAAAATTTTAGATCAAGTGTTGAATGCTTGCTTTATTAGAAATTATGGAACTAGAAATGTCACAAGTATGCGAAACAACGACTTAATTCAAAATGAAATCAAAATCAGACCCTGATCAAGGCAGCATAGCGACGATCATCAGCTTCCCTAACTATTACTTCACGGCCCATTGCTCTTCTAACTTACTTTCTAGCAAGCCAATTCACTGCAATTACTCTGTTTATTCCTCACAATTACTTTCGTCATTCTTCAGCTGTAAATTTTAAAAAGCAGCAAAAAACCTCCAAACCAAACAGTTCTACACCGTACACCAATCACTCACCATAGTCCCAATATGTAACATATTATTTCAAAGCGCCATATCAATGAGGACCGTGGCCACTATTACTGTTGCATTGGTTTCACACATATCAAACAAAATAGCATAAAGATAGTTTGATGAGACGTAGTGAAAACTAAAGCTTCCGCTGTTGGCGGTTTCACAATTAGTTTATCATAATGTTTGTACGTATTGTAAATAAAAGTTCTTGAAGCCAAGCATTGGAAATACTTCCATGAAATGAGTAAGTGAGTATTTAAATAACGTTTTAACCTTACACAATGTCGATAATTGTAGGCCGTCAACTTTACCTCATTTGCTTCCTGATGAATATTAATGTTATTTAAGTACTATAAATTTTAAATACTACTCGTTAGAAGCGTAACGGATTGTTAAAATTTTACTTAAATACTCATTTTCTCCTTTATTCAATTATTTTTCAACATTAATCTCAATAATCTTATGGTCTCTCTCTCTCCCTGTCAACATATATCCTTTCTCAAAAAAAGAATCTTGTCAATATTTATGAACAGTTCTATACCTTACGCCAATCAGTCGTCACATTCATATTCCTTACTACCTGTAAATCAGTCATCTTAAAATTTTTCTTTTTTACTTAGCTCTTAGCGTTAGTCTATCACTACTTTCCCTTAATAATACTATGGCGAGATCAAATGACAGTAGAAATAGCATGCAAGATTATCATGCATGACATTGTTGATGTTGATATCACACCGTTGAACTTTGATTTACTGATCGATCGAGCAATTTGGCCGGACAAAACATTTAGTCAATAAATGGAAACTATTGTGGAACCGTTGCTGTCGTAAAACCTTGACACATCATCCCTCTTCTTCTTATTGGAGATCGTGTAAGGCCACTCCTTATATTCTTCTCTCGTCCACATTCCTTCTCTTCCTCCCCAATTTTCTTTGCATTCAGAGACTGTAACATCTTTTCTTTCCAAGGATTAATCAATTTATATATCAGAAAGACTGATTTACAGGTAGTTATTTGTTTATCACCAAGCAAAAAATAAATGTAATTGATTCAGTATATTCACGACTCGTAAGTGACTGTGATGGTCTCTGGTGGTTTCAGAGTAACGGTTTTTACTACATGCTCGTACTATTTCTCTTCATTTAGTCCTTTCTAAGATTAAGAAATGCTAACTGTATTAATTAGATGGAAACGAAGAAATCGAAGTGGAACGATGATGAAGCAAATTGACCAGTGTAGGGAAACTGTGGTATTGAGAACCGGTGCAGCGGTTTCTTTACCATTAGCGTTTCCGTAGATACTTCTGGAGACCGCGGTATGAAAGTAAAAGTTTTTATTAATGGAATTTCATTCTATATTTTATTATACATTATTTAAGAGATGCAAGATTGCGAAAGAGAAGCATTACTTTCTATCCAATCAATTCTTTCTTTCTTGACTCTCTTGAATAATTCCTTGATTCATTTTTCCATAATTTAAATTCTTATCGAAAAAAAAATTAGTATTTTTTTATGTTTTCTTCTGTTTTAGCGTTTCTAATATACATAACTTGTAAGACATATTGGTTTGATGATAGCTAGCATCTTATTTTCATTCACAGGAATGGCATGTCGAGAGAAATTGAGAGGAAGATTTTTCGTTCACTGTTTGTTATCCAAAGTAGAATTTTAAATTTGACGAAATTCAAAAATTAAAAATTAAGCAATGCATACTTCTTTACAAGATGCATATTGTTTGTTGATCAGAATTGGTAATGTCCACAGTGTATTGCGAGTTATTTATCAAAACAGTGTATCACTTCTCTTTTTCGGCTTTCTCTCCGTATTCGTATAATAATTCATTTAATGATTTATGAGCGTTCGAACAAATGCATATTTCCAGAAAGCAACTGATGAAGTGTAGTTTGCTCTGAAACATAGTGCTAATGTTAATGAAATGAGCGATAGTAATTGGCCGAACGAATTACCTAAAAAAGGTACCTCGCACGGAGAGCATGAAAAAAGCTGGGCGGAGAAGAATTCACAACCAGTGTGCTCACCGCAGTGTTCTGGATTCACTGACACTCACATCACTTTCCGGAAGAAAATACCTGCCGTCATGGTTACTTTCTAATTGCTATCAGTTTTTTTCTTTTTTTTGAAATGTAGTTTAGTCTGTTGAAAATACCGTTGTATATTTTTTTTGGGTTTAGCAAGTTATATTTTTTATATAATTAGTAATAATAGGAATGATGAAAAATATGAGCGAATTGCTTTAGGCGTTGAAGGTTTAAAAAAATTAGAAGAGAATAAACTGAAATTAATAAAGTATATGTACTTGTTGAAGAAAGTACTTCTTTGCTTCTGCTTTCATTCTTCAAGTAATTCAGTTTTAAGAAATCACAAGAAACAAACTTTCTCAGTACTGCACATGTCTCTGTAAGTAGCAGCCTGTAAAATTAAGTTGAATTATCTACTTACTGTGTCTTTTTGTCCACACATCCCATCTGCCCCTTCTCTAATGCTATCCCTCTTCTCTATATCATTTGGCATCAGTTACTTTTAATTTTTACAAGTTTAAATTGAAAATTTGAACCCATTACAAAGAGATGCTTTTTCTACGAAAATTATTATTCAATAAAAGCATTGGAATTTGAATGATATTATAAAGAATTTTTAGTCGTCACCCGTCGATTCACCTCATTCTTTGTTGCTTTCACCAATATTACTTCGTCCGATTCGTTCACTCTCGACACAGAATAATTTTTATGGGTTACCGTCAGAATATGATGAAGAACATCGTTTGTCACGGCAAAAATACCAGTTGCCGCGTACTTTTACTTCAAAAGGTGTACTTTCCTTTTTTGGCGAAATGATCCATTCAAAAATGGATTTTTGCTTTTTTTTGATTAAACCACTTTCAATAGACTGGGAATTTTGAACTACAGATACTGTGCGAAAATTAAATTCACCAGTTTCAATGTTACACCAATTTTAGGTGGTATTGTATTAGGGGCAAAAACAGCTGTCGATAGAGGTAGTGCTGATAATTCAGAAAGCCGTTTTTTAATGCAAGTGTCACACAAACGAGGAAGGCGTCTGTCTGGTAAGAAGTGATTGTTTTTATTACTGTGGCAAAACAGATTGAAATCATTTATATCAGACTGCGTAACGTGATCTCTATTAGCTCTCAACTCTTATTATATTTTAGCGTGCTCTAGTTTATGACTGCAAATTGGAGCATTCATTAACCACTATTAATTTTTTTTTTTTTGAATATACCAGTTTCAAGATTCATTTAATAACTTGTGCTGTCAGAACTGGAAATTTATTATGGTTTACAGTAGTTTGTTTTACCTGATATTATGGACTTGAATGTTCGTGAATTTTATCATTTTTATGGAGTTGCACAGCTGAGAAAAATACATTTTAAAATGGAGAGAATAGACTAATACATTTTGCCCAAAATTTAATATCTCAAAGTTTTGACTACATAATTAGGTAGTTTTGAAGATGAAAGTGTGGGTCTTTTTGTTGTTTTGGTTATTTTTTGTTGCTGTTGTAATTTAATACAGGTTAGTAGCGAGAGATTTTTAAACTTTGAAATGATATCCATGTTTCCACTTAATTATTAAGCAGACCAATTTTAGTTTGTAGGTATTTGCCATTGATAATTTATAGTTTTTTTATATTTGGCGAAGATGCGACAAGGCCGAATTTTTGAAAAATATTTCAGAAAAATAAAAAAATCGAATAACAGTTTATACGATGTGTAGATTATTACGGATCCAGATAAGTAATCGGGTTTCCCTATCTTGTACAATATTCAGTCGACAAAATTAACTGTAGTATGTTACATAGTTTTTTCTTTCATTTATTTAGCTATAAAATTACTTTCAAGTTGCTTTTTATTGGTTTTTCCACTCCAGGAACTTATTGATCTACGACTATGCATGATCATCCATCTCAGAGCAATTGTTGTTGAAACGTGACCTGAAAAAAAGCGTAAATGTAGCAAATCATTGAATCACTCCATCCATTCCATTTGTTGGGAAGGATGTGCAAATGGTGTAGAGCGTCATAATTCGGAAGAGTAGGGAAAGTTTTAAGCTCATCCGTTGGGTACTTTTTAGGATGAACTATGAATTTTACTACTTGCTCGATAAATTAGATTCCGAAGTAAAACTGAGTATTTAAATTGCCAGTACTTTTTGTAATTATTTGTTTTCCATATGGTATCGTTTATAGATTTGAATACTTCCTTATAAAAGGATAAAGCGTTGCATCCTTCATTCATATCTTTGCAGCTTATTTGTTTGAAGAATTATGGATATATGAATCTAGAATGAGCCTTTCATTTTGAAATCTTGAAGGTTTCAATAAAGCATTGTTGATAACTTTCTACTTGAAATATTAATGTTAAGATCAGGCGGTAATATCAGATTAGCCTCGTCTTAAGATTCGCACTCCAAAATGAATATTTTAGAGCCTGCTTTTATTGCTTCAAATGACGAATGCAACAAAGTTACTGTTATATAGATCTTTTCATTCTCTGTTCGAAGAGTTTGTTTTACACATAATTAATAAATATAGATGATTCACGGAATGCTAAAGAAAAAAAGAAATACCTCGTTTCTTGCAACTGTCTCTGAGTGACAGTGAAATTGCTATTTTTGCGAGACATATTTATACCTCGCCTTCAGCAAAATTAAATTATCATTTATTTTGGTAATCGATGTATGGAGCTGAAAAGTGATCACCTACATGACTCCCTTCAAGTTTATATTTCTGTTTCACTTTTTCAGCTTTCATTGTAGTTACTTTTTTTTTTGCCATACTCCCAAGTACTTCCATAAAGTCTTTTTTTTAATTTATGAAATATTCTTACCTCTTTGGGGACTTATTTAATTTAATGCCAATTTCGGATTATCGATTATTTTATAAAGGAATTGAAGAGAAACGGATTTCAAAATGCAAGAGATGGCTGTGTTAAACAAACTAGAAATATCAAACAGTAAGTGTACTGAAGTTTAGTAGCAATATTACTGCGAAATATGCTTTGCTATGCGTTTTAAATTTCAACTTTTAGGTATGTTTAGTCAAAAATCAATAGACTCGTCGTGTTCAAATCATGTTGCGACATTAGGAAATTTGGTGCGAATGCGTAACTCTTCGTTAGGTCATTCCGATCCACAAATTTCTGCATCAGTTCAGTCGTTTTCTGTTCGTCTTCGAGTATGCTATATTTTTTAGATTTGATTTTGGTCTCTTTTTTTGCCTTCAAGGTGGGGGAAGAATTGAGGGATTTATTATATACCTGACGCCACTATTGCTCCTACTAATGTAAATATCATTGAAGCGCAATCATCTTTTCATATTAGCCTTTTTCTGATATATTTGAAGAAAATTTATGCAAATTACACACGGTTTTTAGAAAAAAGACGGAAACAACCTCTCATATTCATCAATCAATAGCCTTGGTTGTCGTCGAAGTTTAAATGCTTCAGCATCGCCTATCCTCGCGCGAAGGTGCCGATCGCCTAATCGTTTTGCAGTTTTCCCTTTCTCTCATGCAAAAACAAATCCTGTAATTGTGCCACTTAGGTTCGTGTTGTTTAATCTTTCAAAACATTTATTCTCGACTTTTATTACATAACTAACAGTACTTGTAGTTTTATAACAAGAGATAAAACAGTATATATATATATATACAATAAACTTTTAGAACAAATGGTTCGCGTACAATACCATTAGCATCAGTTCAGGATAATAGACGCTGGTCTGTTGCATCTCTTCCATCATCGAGCGGTTACGGAACACCTGGAAGCAATTCAGCATTCTCGGTTATTTGATTTTAGGAGTTTTATTCCGTAGAAATTGGTTTGTGGGCTTTTATTAGAATGCAGTTATTGGAAAAAATTCTAACTTGAATACTTGCTCTTATCATGATGAAGCATTAGGGGCAGATAATATTAGCTTTTCAACTTTTGTGAATAACTCAATAGATAGGAATATTTACATCACATTTATATAAAAAAATTCTTTCTAGAGTGAATATTCATCGCAAGAACAACTCTGCGATATTCTTACCGATTTGCGACTTAGCAGTGCTGAAGGTTCAAATGAAGATTTCCCGGGTCAGAATCGTCCTCGTTCTCGAAGTTTGACGTATGCATAGTATTTTCTTTTCAACGTAAAATTTCAGTTCATTGTTGTTAAATTCGCCAATTATTTCAAATTATGAAAAACTGAATTTGCTCTTGTACATGACCGAAGGTGTAATCAAAACTTTTTGGATATTTTTGTTAATATTTTTTTCCCCACAGATTAAAAAACCACCCATTTTTTACATTGTGCACATATGAAAAGCATTATAATAAGACTCTGGAATCTGTTAAGTTTTTACAAAATAAAAAGGTAACTTAAACGAGTAATTCAAATACTGACGTTGTGATTCATTTAAAATTCATGTAGTGTGCTTCATATCAACATGCTGTTGCACCATCAATGAGCATTTTTCATATCTTTTACAATGACAAGCTCCATGAAATTTTTGGAGTTGTCCACAAATTTATCTGAATTTATAGCCGTTGTTATAGGAGCTCTGTAAATTTCGGTTCTGAATCGACATGCAGTATTGTTGTTCATAAAACAATTTACAAAGAACGCTTTCCAAAGGTGTGAAGAACTTGCTGTTTTTTACTTAGTCATAACTCTTAGACGGTTCTAACATAATTCCGTGATCAATCGTGGACATTACTAAACCGTGATCAATCTGTAGGCATTACTAAACTTTTTTACTTTTTTACCGTAATCAAATTAATATCACTGATTGAAAAGGAGATAATTTTTTGAAAACTAATCATATTACATAGTTGATCTTCAGGCGAAGAAACAAATGGAAGAGCAACTTACCCAGTTAATCGATGAAAATGCAGCATTATCTGATATTGCATCTTTGGATACATTACGACCAGAAAGTTTGTGCTTGGAGGATGCATGGAATAGTTCACCAAATACTTCGCTTAGCTCACTCATCAGTCGTAGGTCAATGATGGCTGACAATCTGGAGAGCGATCCCAGAATGCGACTGATTTCAGATGGTGCTACGCGATTTCTTCATCATCAAATTATCGAAGTTGCTAATGGTATTTCATATGCCGCTTCTAAGGTCTTGAATGATAGACTATTTGGAAATGTCGAAAAAGAAAATAACTGAAAATTATATAAGTTATCTTTGCAGCAGTGAGTTTAACATTGCCTTGATTTTATCAAATAATGGGAAATTAAGGCATGAAAAAGCTACTATGTGTCTAATGGAAATTTTGTTTTGGAGAACTGAGGTGTAGAACTTGGAGGGAATGGTGAACACTCGTACTAGAGAAAGAAAATGAATTTTATATCTGAAATTGAAATGCGTTAAATTATGAAAAAAATTAAGATTTTTAAGCCCCTAGAGGCATATTTAGGAATGTTCATTATGAATGTGAAGAAAATTTCAGATTGCTTGTCAAAGTCAAAAGATGATCTCACTAATGCCTCTTACTTCTCAGAAATATCTCAAAGACTCGAAGCTGTTGTTGCCGAAGCACATAAAAAAACTTCACCTGAAAGCTTTGCCTTTTTGTCTAAAATGGTGAAACATGTGCTAATGATCATTTCTCGACCAGCTCGTATTTTAGAGTGCTTGGTAATTAGTTTTCTCAGTTGAAATATAACCTAAATAACTTTATCGGTAAGGAGGATAGTAGAGATTTGAAGAATGCATTACTGGAATCTTTAAGCAGCCAAGAAAGCAACATTTGTTGTTTTTCCCTAATTGTATCTACAGTATAGAACATTTTTTATATGATTAAAGGAGTTCGATCCGGATCAGTTCTATCACTTATTACAAGAAACGGAAGGAGCAGTTCGTGAGCAGCTCGGTGCAGGTAATGCTAGAGTTCCAGATTTACCACAGTACATCATAAGCAAACTTGGTCTGAATAAAAATTTGATGTCCGAATCAACAGTTGATATTTCAAAGGTATGTTGTATCTGTGGTCTTGTATGTTTTATCCTTGAAGGTAATGCCACCTTTTGAAATAAGAAAAGCTATATTTTTACGTAACTAATTCGTAATTTGCTTCAAAAACGCAAGATTTTTCAACTGATAATTGTTAGGAAATTTTGCTCTGGTAGATGAGATTTTTTGGTTAATAAAATGTTTCATTGCATGTTACATATTTCTTTTATTAAAAAAAAAAGTTTCTTTGAGGTAAAGCATAGTTCAGTATTCGATGAGGAAACTCGTTTGGTGGAGTGTGAGCGGGATTTATGCGAAAGACGCCCACCATCTGAAGACGACTATGAAACAATTCGAGTAAGTAGAAACACTATTGTCGAATTTCAGTGCTTGCTAGATGTGAATGGATGAAAAGTAATTTGTTATTACTAATGAGTTACAGTCCATGGTGAACAAGGATAATTTGAGATTGTAATTAACCCCATGTTTTTGAAATTAATCATATTTATGGCAGACTTTGTTCTGGAATTTGTAGAGTCAATACATACTTGAAAAAACTTGAATAGTTTTGGTACATACTAGTAAGATATTGAGCAAAGTGGCCATTATAAAAATATATGCTTAAATCAAGCTTTTCTTTTATAAAATTAAATTTGTATGATGAAGCATTTCATTGGAAAATTTTTCATATTTCGCAGTCGTATTTAATTCCAATGATTATTGGTTTTGGATATGAAGATTTGAATTATTAAGCTAATAAGCAATGGAGCATATGGTGCCGTTTATTTGGTGCGGCATAAAGAAACACGACAACGATTTGCACTGAAGCGGATGAAGAAACAAACTTTATTAATGCGTAATCAAGTAAACCAGGTAGTTTGCTTGTAGTCTACTTATCTTTTTTATTCGTTAATTTGGCGAAATTTTATTTAGATTAGAAAAATCAAAGTGTTTGATATTCCTTCAAATTTTTTGCTTGATTCAGGTATATGCTGAGAGGGACATACTTACATTTACGGATAATCCATTTGTCGTATCATTTTATGGTTCATTCGAGACACGTCATCATTTGTGCATGTTAATGGAATACGTGGAAGGTGGAGATTGTGCAGCGTTGCTGAAAAAAGCTGGAACATTACCACTTGATACAGCACGACTCTATGTTGCAGAAACTGTTCTTGCTATTGATTATCTTCATTCCTACGGTATCGTTCATCGTGATTTAAAACCCGATAAGTAAGTCTCTTAATTTTTAAAAATGCCACGATGATTCAAAACAGAATAAAAATCGTAGTTAGAGGCATGCACAGCCTTTTTCAGACTGAGCTGACTTTTAGAGCACTGCGTATCTCTTCAAAATTCATTTTTTAATCGTGTTAAATAGTAATATAAAACAAGGCAGGAAACGTTTTCAAATTATCAGCAGTCGTTTTTCACTAATTTCACTACTTTTAGTGAAGTTTGCGAAGTTCTAATGCTTTTCAAATCATGCAGATTTTTTTCACATACAATTTAATAATTTTGCCTTTATTTATAGCCTGTTGATAACGGCATTAGGTCATATAAAGTTAACCGATTTTGGACTTTCAAAGATTGGCCTGATGAATCGTGCAACACTACTGTGCGAAAATTATACTGATATTTCGGATACGCAACAATTTACGGATAAACAGCTTTGTGGTACTCCTGAATATATCGCGCCAGAAGTAATTTTAAGACAGGGATATGGTAAGCTCATTAAATTTTTCTTATCTTCTTTCTACAGATTATTATTTCAGTTTGGAAAACTTTCGCGAGTGGAAAGATTCATTATTTTGAAATCTCTTATTTCGTTATTGAAAATAATGAACATTTAATATTTATAAGTTTTTAAGGCAAACCAGTGGATTGGTGGGCACTTGGGATTATTTTATATGAATTCCTAATTGGAATTGTTCCGTTTATAGCTGATACACCAGAACATTTATTTGCAAAAATTGTTAATGGTTAGTTTATTGTGTAATGTTACATATTAATAGAACGTGTTACTGCTTCAAATAGCGTTTTGATATAAAATTATTTACTTGAAAATATATTTCTCCATTCTGTTTGAGAGATTATTTTTTGAAGAGGAGATAGAATTTCCTGAAGGGGAAGAAGCGCTGCCCATTGAAGCTGAATCGTTGATCAAACGCTTATTGGAAAAAGATCCAGTAGAACGGCTTGGATCGGTTGGCGGTGCGCAGCAGGTTTGTTTCTTTCAGAAACGTTTGTGTTTCAGTTGATAACTTCTACGCTACTATTCGGAATTTCAAATTGTACAATATTTATGGATTGAACCACTGGAAACTTGTTTTTTTAATTTTTTACTGTTCTTTTAAACTTGCAGCTGATGAATGATTCTTTTTTTGGTGATTTGAATTTCAAATCCTTGTTACGCCAGAAAGCAGAATTTGTACCCCAATTGGAGGGAGAAGAAGACACATCTTATTTTGATGCTAGAACTGATCGGTTTGTTATTATCCTGGTTGTTTTCTTTTATCGGAAAAGTTGCTGAGAAATATTTGTTTCAAATTTTTATATGAAATACTTTGAATTTCTCCTTGCTTGCAAAATATATTGACAACCGCATTTTCTTTTTGATTTAAACAAATCAAATTCTTGCATTAAATTTCATTTTTTCATGCTTGCTATTGTTTTTGATGAATTCTAGACGCTATGATTGAATTATAGGCATGCATGCATCAAATATCCTTTAGAAAAGCTAACTACATATCAGAATGCTTTTCTGGATAATCTATGCGTCGAGATGATCTCAGCCACTCCTGAGAGTGATATAAAACACTTCTAGAAATTTCTGAGATGTTCTGGCATTCCTTGAGCAGAGTTCGCTTGTGAGTTACATTAACTGATTCTTAAATCTCTTTGTTGATTCTAATATTTTATTTTTTTCCAGCTACAATCATGATGTTGACAGTGGTGATGAAGATAACACTCCAATGTTTGGTTCTTTTGACACCGCATCACCTCGGCATTCAGTGATCAGTCCTGAATCAATTAATGTGGCTCAGGTATTTCTATCTTTCACTTGGTTTTCTAACAGTTTGCAAAAATATTTATTCAGGCTACAAGTTCTGATGGTGTCAAGATCCGATCGGATTCGATTTCAGTTTCTCGTCAATTGAGCGGAGATTTTTGCGAAAACAAAATGGATATTAAATATGACTGTCCTTTACCGGCGGTCAGTTTCTTCTTTTTTCCTGCTACTGTTTTTTTGGAATAAAATTTTAATAATTCCTGTATATAAAATTTCATCTTGTTATAAATATTTCATCTAAAATTATTAAATATAAACTACAGTATCTCGCGTTTACCATTTTTCTTCGTCACTGCTGATTCTTTTGTTTTCAGACAGTGCTACTCAGGCGATGTTTTTCATCTCAGCTTCAAAATAATTTATTTACATCAAGCAGCGGAATGAATGAAACGGGTGATCTTAATACAGTTGGCTTATCTGCAGATTCCTCGGTTGATGTATTCAGCTCTTCCGAATATTCGCGATCGGTTTCAACCACAGATGGTTATCAGAATCAGAGGAGCAACATAGTAACGTCTCCTTTGCCAAGGTAAACGCGTTAAACAGTTTTTCTTTTTTGACTAAATTATGAAAATCCTATTCAAAGCCTCATTTAATTTTTAGAAAATTTCATTGTGAGATTATTATATTCAATTCAACTCACAACACACAAGCATGTTTCATGATGTTCTTTTTTTCGTTTTCGTGCTAGGACTAAACCAACAGATATCATTTCAGTTTTTCGGTAACTTGCGAACCCGACACAACTACAATCAGCTTATGTGACAAAAAACTATCGCCCGTAACTGAATCACGACCAGCTTCTGATCTGACTGCTTTCGATTCTGTGGGTTTTTGGTCATTTCTAAATTATTTTATTATCCCGTTAAGGAAATCATTTATTTATTTTCACGCTGCACATATTTACTCAGCAGATATATCTTACTCAAATTGACTGAGAAAATAACTTTCGCTAATCCAAAATAGATATATGTATATATATAGCTTTTTGCTACATTCTGTACTTTCCAGGGTCGAATTGATGAAGCGGTTAGTGAACACGATCGTACTCTGCAACTTGAAATTCCAATGCAGTCTTCGTCTTTAATCACTCAACATTCACCAGCTGGTTCAGCTTCCAGTGCGTCGTCATTTGATGGCATTTCCTCCAATCCACTAATTAACTCAACTTCTATTACGGAACAAAATTTTCTATTGAAAGCACCAATAATCATCAAGTAAGAAACTAAAAATTTGTTATTCTGAAGAAAAAATCTGTTGAAAGTTTTGTTTTTTCTGCAGGTAAGAAAAAGTTTGTTGTGAGACAATATATATATATATATAAATTTTCTGTTGTAATTAGTTATCCAGTTAAAAATAATGAATTATTCAATTTATGGAATCACAAACACGCGTATAATTTTGTACTTCTAGGAAAGGGCCGAAAGGTTTCGGCTTTACGATTCGTTCAGTTCGTGTCTATTTGGGTGAACAATCAGACTATTATACTATTGAACATTTGGTGACAAAAGTGGAAGAAGGCTCTCCAGCCTACGAATCTGGTATACGACCAAATGACCTCATTACTCATGTTCATTCCCAACCTGTTTCTAATCTTACACATCCACAGTTGTTACATCGTCTTCTTGCATATGGGAATGAGCTTTCTCTAAAAGTTTGTCATTTTTTTTTATTTAACAGGAAGTTTGATTATGAAGAAATTTATTTAATTTTGATTTGGTAGATTGATGGTATAATAGAGTAGAAGTTATGTGAGTCATTAATTTTTGAAAACGTCAGAACAGCAGTTGAGGTATGTATCATACTTTTGTTGATGATCTGGTTCATATCCTTATAAATTTGTCTTTGATTTCATTTCTGTATTTTTTGGTTTTCTGCTTCGTGTGTAACTTTCCTGACAATAATTTCACTCCATTCTCCTGAGAAATTTTTATGCTTAAAAATTTTACGTAAATTAATTCCCGTCTCTAATTTTGAACATAAAAGCATTTACAGACAACGCCACTCTCGTCAACCTCAATTCGTGAAGGTGCGCCACGTCGTACAGTTGGCAAGTTGGCTAAGAAGAAACTGAGAAAACCGCAGCATCGTGTCCAACTGGAGAAGAAGACTCGAAAATCGTCACTTCTTCGTCGGTTAAGTGGCAAAAGAGCTAGTAATGACATTATTCCAGGAAGTTCATCCCAGAAACAAACGTTTATGCCTCGGTCAGCTTCCAGCCAAGATGGAATACAACTAAGGTGGCTTTTAAATTATCTGGAAAAGTCGAAGATTTTCTGGGCGATGGATTCAATGCCTAAATCATTGGATGGCTTTCTTCCAATTCTCTTATTGACATAGTTTCCTAGGCTCATAGATATATTATAATTTGACAGTAATATTTATTTCAGCAGTACAACTGCTTCGTCTTCCACGTTGGCGGTTGTATCAACAGTGGGTTCCAATGGTTCGATGTTTAAACGGCTTTCAGATGTTAGCTTACCTATTAAGAAGGAAGAGAAAGTGATTTCTGCATCACCATTAGCATTGACATGCACAAATCGACCATCTACGTTGCAGGTACTTTTATGAATTAAATAATTCAATATATTCCTCGCAAAAGTCGAGTAATTTGATATATATATAAGTCCGAAGCATCACTTTCGTGACTTGCAATTTCAGGAGGTACGAGAATTTTCTGTATATGTATATATATAAATGTAGTAATTCTACAACGGATTGCTTGTTTAGTTCAGATTAAATACCACTGTTTGAACAAATTTTATCATCAATTTTTCTATTGTGCCACATCATTAAATTAATTTTTAAGGGATTGAAACATAAAATGGCTGGAATGGCACACAATTTAACGACACGTAAACAGATATCTACACCGGTTGCAGTCAGCCCTCTGGCAAGAGACGAAATTGCTTTTATTTCAAGGTTATTGCTGCTTCAGTGTAAAAGTTTTTTGAATATAAAAATTGATGAAAAGTATATTCTTTATTGAGTTCTGAATGAATTCAGAAAAAGTATGCTACACGAATAGCTTTCGTCCTAATCACTCACATAGAGAACTCCTGAGTTTTTGGCTGTTTTATTAGTATGATGATTTTTATACTCATGGCATGTTATTTTGGTTTTAACCTCGTGTAAATTAGATTATTTCGGAGATAAAAAGTGGAAAGAAGGCGAGTGAAATTTCAAATACGGCTTAGCTGAAGCGTTTTACAGTTAGAGTTGTCATAGTTGAGTAATTTATATTTCCATGACGCTGAAAATATTTCATGTGTGCCTATAATGATAAATAGGGAAGCTTTCTCATAATGTTCTTTCAGATCACCTAGTCCATCTCAGTTATCAAGAAATGCATCCTATACAAAGCTTCAAAAGATGCAACCCGAAGCATAATGGAATAAAATGCAAGGGGTTTTGTACGATCTTCTCACCATTGAATAATATTATTTGTCTTTTTAAATCTTTTTTTATATTTTTCGTATGCCTTTCCTTTGTATTTTCAATTCATTTATTATTTCTACGATTCGTAATTGTATTGTATTTTATTTTACTTTATTGTTCCTGTATTAAGCTTCGATTACTCGTCTTTCAAAAGAAATATGCTTATATGTTTTGTATATATTCTTTCACTAAATAATTAGATGATTCATAAATAACTAAACTAAGATGATAGATCCGTTCCGGCTAACTAGTAGTTCTCACGATTCTCATTTAAATTCTGAATGATAGTGTTCTCATATAGTAAACTGTTTTTTTGTTTCATATAAGAATCAGATGTATGTAGTTCTGTATTTTATTTTTATTTTGGATGATTGTGTATATATTCATATGTTTTCTGGATGATGGTAGGACAGTGAAGGTTAAACAATCGTAAATGCCTGAATTTTTCTATATTCAAAACTCTAGCGTCATTTTGAATTGAATGGTGTTAAAAATATGCTTCCTAATGGGACAAATAACATCCAGTCCAGAAGTTTCCGTCTTTAATTGCATGGGATTTTACAAGACCTTTGTATTTTATTTCCTCATTGCGGGCGTCAATTTATGATCGCACTAGTGAATATTTTTAAGGTTTGCAAAGGAATTTCTACGTGTTTCATATTCAGCTTAAATAAAAATATGCTTAAATGTTTGTATTGAGTGGTGTGGACGACATCTCATCCATTTCAAGCGATCAGATCCTGTGGAAAAGAACTGGAGTAATTCATGAAGCGCATTTATCAATAGATAAGAGAAAAGAGAAGGAATAACGCATGACACGTACGTGAAGACACTTCAAGGTAATGATCGATCGAAACATTCTCTGGCATTGGCAGAGTGAAGGAGGGGCATTATGTCGACTGGCAGTGATAATGGTGCTGCAGCAGGTGACGGTGTCATCAGGAAACCAGTGTGTTTGTATAGTTAAGAACTTGGTTTCAAAGTTAGAAATATGACAGTGAGAAAATTATTGACCTCTTCCGAGTAGAATTTTCAGGGAAACAACGAGCAATGGGAAGGAAAGAAAATAAAGGAGGAACAGTCGAAGTAAAGGAAGAACTCTTCAAAGTTCTAATTATCGCGGACACGTTTGACACTCGTTTCCTTCCCGTCACTTCCCATTCTTCCATCGTAAGTTATTTGTACCGTCGTAAGTCTAATTCCTTACTTCCAATAATTTTTCTTCTCTCTAAGGATAGTCAGTCAAGTTTGACGGTTCGTCGCTTGGAATTGTTTTTTATCTTAAGACATTACATGATTGATAATTTTATTTATTTTTTTTAATTCTGTAAATTTACGCAGCACTTTTCATGTTCATAACAGTGCTAAAAATTTGACTATATATTGGAAATGAACTAAACATTGAATTGAATTAAAAATTTCTGCTACCCATTTAAAATTAACTTTTACTCATGATATTTTTCACGTCATTGCAATAAAATATAATTGTGAAAGTAACTCGATAGAACAGGAGTGGATGGAATCTCGTTCTCGTCATGTCTTGCTATTAATGTAGAATATTTTCAGAGTTGTTTAAGGATAGCGGACATCGAAATCTTACACTATGTGCTGGAATGGATCAGTCGAACTGGATTTCGAGATGTGGTGGTTGCTTTGTTGTCGCACTTTGAACGAGCTGTGCAACATATTATAGAGTATAACATTTCTACTTAACATATTTAAACTCAAATTCTTTCTACCAAATTCCAAGCAGATACCATACGTTGTATTTCTAACTTCATTTATTCAATAGCACATATGGTAGCTTAAGCTTGAGTGGCAGCCATTGGCTCACGTTTGAGAGTCTGCATTATTTTGAATTATTGAAAAAAATAGTGTCTAGCTATTTTTCATTTTATAATTTTGTCTTTATATAGTTCATCTTTTACATATTTTTTATTTTAGTTACTGGAGAATACTTTTCGATTCTTTTACTGTTGTATTATGTCAGAACTGTATGAGTGTTGGCGATGTTCTGCGTGAAGTTCATAGTCGATCTGTCATAACATCGGATTTCTTGTTACTCACAACTCCGATGACTATCGCCACAACAGATCTCAGTGCTCAACTCAATTGTTTCAAGTAAATATAAACAATTCGTAATTTTGGAACAATAATGACTTGGATTAGCTACTTAGAACTCTATATTTTCAACTTTTTGAGGCTTTTTGTAAGTTTATTAAGTGTGTGCAGTATTTCAGATTTTAAGAAATGCCATATTTTGATTCAGGGAGATAAGGAAGGATAAAAATAATGTTATGTTGATCGTTTACGGTGAGTGGGAAGATGAATGCCCTGTTATTGCTTATGAAAAAAAAAGCGGAAAGCTTATATTCTACCACCAAAAAAATGATGCATCAAAACTTGATGTAAATAAAGTATGTTATCTTTCAAATCACTACGGAAAGATTGATAATGCTTTTTCTTCTTATTTATCAAACAATTTTTTTATTTTTATCAGTCCAGATCCCACTATCTCAATTTTATGTCCAGTATTTTCATTACCAACTAAGCAATGTTCGGTCAATAAATATTAGTTTCTTGTTAATTAGTAAATCAAAAGTACAAAACATTGTTTTGATAGGAATATAAAGTAATTTATTGAGGAAATCTAGCAGTTAGATTTCTACTTGTATTATGACGTCTAGAAATTATTCCATTGATCCAGTTTTTTTCAGGATGTATTTATATCTGATTCTGTTGTTTGCAATAATCTTCGGGATACTGGCATAGCATTTTGTTCACTGAATGTGTTGTTACAATTTAGTGATAACTTCGATTTTCAATATAAAGAAGATATGATTAGAGAAATTCTAGTTAATGAAGAGATTCTTGGTCAAAGAATTTGCATCGCTGTTCTTCCAAAACAAATTTCGACGTTTTGTATCCAGTACGTTTTGTTTTTCTCTCTTGTTTCTTTGAAATTCTGTTGAGAGAAAATTTCATTATGGTCTTTATGTGACGCACACATGTACAATAATAAATGAAGTGAAGCAATTTTAATGTTAATAAAAGAGGCAGGAACTATTGTGAGACTCTTGATCTTTTTAGTAATGCTTTATAGAACTTTTGCGGTTTACTGTAGCATAATGTTGGTTGTAAAGTTTGCATACTTGTTGAATTTGGATTATTAAATATTTTAGATGTTACTATCTATAACTGAAATCAGGTTTTATCTCCAAAAGTATGGATGATCTGGAGTCTGTTGCTTGTGATTTCATCGATCTTTTCATTTTGCGAAATATCTCATCTATTTTTAGTGATTACGCAGATCTCCTTCTTATGAATAAGCTTATTTTGAGGCGATTTTTCTTCCCTCTTGTTCCAGATAATATTTCTTATTCACCTTATATTTGTCGGCGAAATAATATTTATACACCATCAGACAGTTTGCAGCAAGATTACCAGACGAAAAGGTGGGTCACTTTTTTTCAAAAATGCCTGAAAAAAAACTATATTTTGATTGCATTGATTTCAAAATTCTGTTGGTTGATTAAACTCTTGAAACCATGTATCATTTTAACCTAGCTCCTGTTTAGAATTTTGCCATTAATTTTTGATGGAGCAAACGTTTTATTGGGAAAAAACTGTTCGATTGGTTTGAATGTAATGTTAAAAAATGTTTCAATTGGTTCTGGTACATCTATCGGTATGCCTTTATCTGTTTAGCATGTGATGATTCGAGTAGAGCAATACAATGGATTGCTAGTTGTGCTGTTGTCTTATCATTTCATTATACAGTTTCGTTATAACTTTTCATACGTAGTTCTCTTAACATAAATCTACATAAGATTATTTGAGGCGATGGATGTGAAATTGTGGACTGCATAATCGGTAGAGGTATTTCAATCGGCATGAACACTCACTTGTCGGAATGCTATATTGCAGACGATGTTGCAATAGGCAGCAATGTTATACTTTTTCCGAGATGTGTCTTGTCGTCCAAGGTTTTTATTCCATATGTTTCTTTAAAAGTCGTTAGTTTATTTTGTTCGAATCGATATGATATTCGTTAGATCAGTGTAACATTACAGCATAATTTTATCTTATAACAGCAGATCCCATGACACAATTCAGTGTAAGATCTTTCAAGGCTACAATACTGCACTATAGTTGCAATACTGATAAGCGTATTTCATGTGGCTCAGTTCCAGGTGAAAATACCAGATGGCAGAACATTACCATCAGGAAGCGTTATTAGTATGGAGTGTTATGAAGACGACGATGAACAGTTGGAATGCATTCCGTCTGAATGTTAGTTTTGTAACTTATTTTGATAATTTCAGAAAGGATGTATATAATAAGTTTGCAAAATTTTTAAGATGGATTTGAATGGAGGATGGAAAATGGCGGTGATTTTTGGCATTCTGCATGTTCAAATCTTCAAATGCATGGCACAACAGCGACCTCCAGAAGTATTTGAAATTTTAAATTCTCGCACTTTTTCATTACAGCATGTGATTTTTAATTCCGTTTTGATCATGGTAGTTGATTTTTTAATTTTTTTTTAATCCAAAATTCCAGATATGGATAATTTAAAAGAGACAGAACAAGCCATCGATGAAAAAGAAATAGACAGTGTTGATCGATTTTACGAAGAAGTATGATTAACTTTTATATTGACTCACTGTGAGCTCCTTCATGTGAGTTTCCAATGTTATAAGGAAACTTTGATCAAATATTGATTTGCAGGTTAAAGAAAGTATGGACAGAATAGCAGAACAAAAAGAATGCGATGACCAATTGATAAAGAATCTGATTTTAGAAATCAACAGTTCGAAACTAGCCTACAATATAACAATGGAGGACGTTGCACGCAACGTTTTCTTATCTTTTCTTTCGTTATCGGATACTTTTTCAGAGCTGCAGAAGGTAAGCTTGCAGATTAGTCTTTTAGAAGAAGTAAATTGCTTTGATGAAAGTGGATTAATCTTTGTAAAAATGATTGATTTTTGTGTATTTATGGACGGAAGAAATCTTTTCTTTGTAGCTTGCTAGAAATTGGCATTTATTGTTCATCAACTATTACAAACCAACAAAAAGCCAGATTCAAGCGCTTATTGCAGTTGAGGTAACTTTTGTTTTTTTGTATGCGCTGTTGGTATAATTCTATGCCTTTTATCCAGGTTTAAGCGTATGTACAAGTGTAAACGTGAATTTTGAATTTGAGTTCGAATTTGAAGTTCTTATTTTGCAAAGCTTTCCAGACAGTATCATTAACAGTATAAATTCATAATTTGCATTTTTGCAGGAACATCTGGCATCCAAACCAGATTTTAAAGCAATAACTGCAAAAGTGATACACTTTTTCTATGAACGAGATATTTTTGAAGAAGATGCAATTCTGAGTTGGTATAATACTGTGCATGAGAATGCTCCTATTAAAACTCTAGTCCGTCCAATCATCGACTGGTTGCAAGAGGCAACTGAAGAATCTGATAATTAGTAGTATATTTTGAGCAGTCGTTAATGAGAAACTTTTTTTTTGAGGAAAAAAACAACCAAATAGCTAAGTTTGCGCCATTTTTTAGAGAGACTTGACTTTAAGATCTCTGATCGAATGAGAATTTCCGGACTTTCTCTTGGGAATACTATATACTTCATTCTCTTGGAATTCCATATGCTAATGAGTTTCGTTTGTTAATCGCAGCCGAAAAAGTTTATGTCATTATTGTTGCCATATTAAAAGTATTATTTTCATGTCCAACTTTCTATTTTTGGGTTTTATAATGCTATGCTTAAACTTTTTATTTATATTTGAAATAAAGATGTATTTGCTGTCAGATGCGTGATAATCTTTAACTGTATTTTCTTTGATATATTTGTTATTTTGTATTCTTAAAGGAATTTATCAAGCATTTTGAAAGAGTTTTGAATTCTACCACACGTTTTAGATAGCTGATGCACTACTTTGGTAGTGAAAGTATATTTACCAGTATTTAGCATTTTATTCTATCACAAATTTTAGACGACTGATGCATTACTTTGGTGGTGAAATGTCTGCATTAGAGATTGTGTTGGATCTTTGTTTTTAGCACTTTTCAGGTCATAATTTAATAGATTGAGAATGTTGATATAAAGAAGATAGTCTCGTTCAACAAAGTGTTGATTGTTGAAGAAATATTCAGTTTTTTTGCCCGTAATTTCTAAATTTTATAAGGCGTACATGTAACTTTTTATAGAGGTGCATATTGGTTGTGGGTAATCCGAAAATGTTCAGTGTTTTCCAGTTTTTTTGGACAAAAATAGACCAAGATTGATTTGATAATTGCGTCGTGAACTTGAGAGTTTCGAACATGAAAGATGCATTATGTCATGAAATATTAGATAATGATTTCATACATTTGAAATACTCAGACAGAGATTTTTTAATTAATTTATTGGGACTGGCTTATGAGTCCTGTTATGTGAGGTCTTGAGAATTCTACATTGATTTTTATAGATTATACTATGGCTGGTAATTTAAACCTTTATGATTTTAACGGCTCGATTAGACGGAATAAATTGCAAGAAGCTATATTTTCTGATTTGGTTAGTTTCATTACTTCTTGCTTAAATTACATAAATATTTATTTCCCTAAATCTTAATCTTGAGATTTATTCTATAACATGCATTTAACTATTTATTTCACTTCTTTCAGGCTAAAAAAGAAGATTTTATGAGAAAAATTAATGAAGAACGTATCGAAAGGCAGGAACGATCCAGGTAACATATCTAAGTACTAGTTAGGCTGCTATTTAGGATTCGGTATCACTTAGCTTCAGATTATTCAGGTAATAATACTATGGGAATGTTTACTGAAGATTTAAACGTATAAGTAAGGCATTTTCACTTTAAATTCCCTATGAATTTGGGTCTTCTAAATGATATTGCTGTATCGTCTTTCCGTATTTGCAACGTGTTAAATGAACAGATTTAGAGAAATGGAGGGTGTTCGATAAACAGGATTGAAAAAGGGGGACTTGGCTTACATTTTATTGATTTTATAGTTTGGTAGTTAACACAAATTTACTTTTTAATTTTTGATTTCAGAAAGGACAGAGCAAATCGAAATTTTACAAATGTCAGATTGCTGTTCATTTACAAGGTGTGGATAAACCCCAGATTGATCTTTGAGGGACTTCTTTCCTGTCATTTTAATCTGATTGATTTATTTTTTATTATTCTTTTTTCAGACAAAAAGTGGCAGCAATCAAAATACAGTCTGCATATCGAAGATATCGTATTGGGAAACAGTTTCATGTCTTTTTGCGAAGTCTTTTTGATAAGGCAGGTCCAACATATAGCATTGCATTATTGGAAACGCAAATTTCTCGTTTGGCTTTCTTTTTCCGACCTGCTATTGATTGTGAAAGAACTGTAAGTTTTCTAAATCTGCTCATATTCTTGCGTAATACGATTCTTATTATTGTTATTTATTTTTACTTAGATAGTTAAGAAAGCTGGTATGCATTTTAAAATGGAAAATCTATTTTACAGTTCCATCAAAATTTGCGGATATGATTCTAATTATGGTTTTAGTTATAATAATTCTGGACAAAGTTTAAATTTATTTATTCTAAACCACAACTTCTAGTTAACATTGTGCAGTGAAGCAGTTGTACTAGCACAAACAATAAAAGCGAACGATTTATTGGATCGAAGGAGACGACAGCAACTTTTGCGATGTGCAGTTGTGCTTCTTGAGCATAGCGATCGTACCAAGTCGTACACATCTGCTTTGCGTTTTTTCGAAATTTATATAAAGGAGGAGGATTGCTTAACTTTGTTGAATTACGGTTTTTATTCATCTATGATGACCCTGTTCTCAAATTGCCATCAACTCCCATCTCGTAAGACTCTTCAACGTCTTGTTTTAGGCACTATTTTTAGATAGATTAAAGTGATTATTAAGATAGAAAATCAAGCAAGTTTAAAACTTTTAGTCATTTTTTGTTTTTATATTTTATTGTTTAACTAATAATAAATTATTCAATGCAATACATTCTCTTGACATTCTCTTGTATAAATGTCTGGTACATTCTGTACTAGACATTTATAAGAGTTTGAATATTGTTAAGCATCTTGATAGCACTGACAGTGACAACCAAAGTGTTTATCTACTTTCTTAAAATGTGACATTTTTCAGCTTTATATATTGAAGAAAAACTTCCACAGCGCTCTGAATCACTTTTGCAAATATTAGTTTTACCTATAAGTCGTCTTTTCAAAAAGTAAGCTCCACGAACATGGGTTTTCTATTTGTAATTGGGCAGATAATCAATATAAAAGCGATATTTTTACAGATTTTGTCTACAGAAATCACAGACTCATTTCAAGATCATATGTTATCAATGAAGCAAAAATTGTCTTGTCACAGATTTATCGAACTGTTTCAATCAGTCTGACTGGCTTTTAATTTTTTGTTATGAAATTTTATAGTTTCATAATTTATTATTGCAGAATGGATGCTATATTTGAATTGTTTAATACGATCTGCAAGCCAAGATTTGAAGCTATTACTGTTTGTTGTTTAGCACCGTTTCTAGCTCGACTCTGTAAAGCAGGGACTTTGAATTTCTCTGATTTTATGGATGGTTTATCAAGAGGTGGTAGTCGATTATCATCACAAGATTCAGCTTCTACACTTTTATGTTCTTATACTGTTGTCGTTATTACTTCGGCATTTCCATTAGGTTTAGTTCTTTCTCATTCATTTTTTTAATTTGTTGTACATCACTTGTGAATTTAATAATTACTTCCATTTTCATCGATAAAAATGATTAAATTTCACAGACAACGTTAACTACCAAATATATTTGTAAAAAATATTAAGAAAATATTTGAACTATAAAACACTTTCAGATGTCTTACCATGTTCTTAGGATTTTAAAATGTTTCCTCTTTTGTCCATTCCCTTTTTTATTCTATTGTAATAAAATTAAGGACAGCATATCAAATAGATTTCGAATACCATTAGCCTTCACCGCTTGTTTTATTTATGTCAGATGAATTGGTTGAAGTTCATTGAAGCTTTAGTATTCTATCACCAGCAAAAGTACACATGTTAAAATACTTCTGCTGGTAATCGAATAATCTCAGCATTTATCATTACTTTGCTTTCAATCCTTAAATATTCCCATTCCATTTCTTAATTTTCATTTCCCAAAAACTTTCAAGTCATACAGCATCTTCTTTTAATTTCATTACTTTATTACAGAAAAATTAAGCGATCTGGAAAAGGCCAAATTGGTTTCAGTGTTTGCAATACTCACACAAAATATTACGCCTCCACTAGAAGCGACAGAGCAGTCTAATGCCGATTCGGATACAGACGACGATTCAAATGATACTGTTGTGGCTACGACATCTGATATTGAACCGGACATTCTGGAAAGTATTTTAATTTATTAGAAATTGAAAAACTTTCACCGTATGGAGGAAAGACATAAAGATACTTTTTGTTTAACTAGAATTTCTAAAAAATAGTGAAACTTTAGATTATTCAGGCATATTTGGGGCATACAGGCATAAACTTTAGTTTATTCAGGTACAAAAATTGACATGCAGAGTGCTAAATTGCTGACTTATTTTCCATCATTGAGTCTGTTTTATAAGATGAGAAATATGGTTTTTTCAGACAGCACCATTTTACTTAAAAACTGTAATCTCTAGTCTGAGGATTCTTTTGTCGAATGAATCAGTTACAAATGCGTTACTGGGAGACCGTGAAGGAATTACTTCGTTTTGCACGTTAACTTATTTTATACGGATTCATTCATCTGCAAATTATATTTCTCTGATGAATTTATTTTCTTCATTTCGCCAGCTAATTCCTAGTTTATGGAAACTAATAATGTCTCTTAACACGAATACTATCTTTGGAATAAAGCAACCACTAATAGCAATACTTGAACGGGTCAGTAGTACTTCTTCGTTTCAGACATTTCTTTTTTTTTAAAACAACAATACCATGTCACAAATAAACGGGAATGAAAATCATTTTTCATATATCATATTTCATATATCGTTGAATACTGATTTTATTATATGTATTGAAAATATTTTGTTCTGAATTTTTAAATATGAAGATATTCGCATTGTTATTTTGTTTTTAACTTAATTAGTAGAAACAAATCCTGCATGCAGGAATACCGATAATTGTACCAACTCCGAAAGATTAGCTTTTCCAACAAATTGAGCTGTATGAATGATATTTTTGTATTCCAGGGTGAAAATATATCGCATTCAGATGAACAGTCATTAATACCAGCTTTATCAATATTTATAACATTGATGACAAATGCATTGAAAACAGTTGACGATGATGATTTCCAAAGTGGTGGTATTGGGGATGCTGTCTTCCCGCTTACACTGAATCAAGTAGCTGATGTAATTCTTCATTGTCGGTAAGATGTGCCAGTGTTGCGGAATATGAGATTAATTTTGGATTCCCTCTCTTAGTCATAAAATAAAGGAATTCGAGTTGAGGCATACAGTATTAAAACTGCTTTTAATGCTTATAAGCGCAGTGGTAGAGTAGCTTTGCTTACTGAAGTATAATTTAATGCTGTTTACGATAATTATAAATTTGCGGGCGATCTTTCTTAATATAATGATTTTATTTTTGGTTTGAAACTTCATGTACTTCTGTTTTACTTCATTTTTGGTTTTCTTGAACATATATTATTTTTTTTATAATTAGCTGCAACTTTTAAGAAACCTTACACTCGGTTTAATCGATCTCGCTTTCCCTGTTAGTAGTGGACGTTTCCAGCAGTCTTTGGTGAAATGCTCTAAGTGGTCTGATTTATTCCAGGTAATTCAAGTAGCGTTAACTCTTATTCTTTCATTACTTTTCTTTGTACTATTTTGTCTAATGTATTGAATTAAATAAGCATTCTGTGCAGAAATTTTGAAAAATGTTATTAGCTTGCTTTTAGGATGTCGCTTTGTTAACGAAGGCGTTTCATGAACGAGACAATCGTGTTTGTGTCATGCCCCACAATTTTTGGTCTAGTCATAATAGGAATGTTGTCGTCAACTCTGTTGGTTCATTTCTCGTTTCTACTTAATTCTTATTTCATTAAAATTGATGGCATTAATACAGTGAGTTGAAGATATGAAAATGTTAACATTTTGTTTACTCATGTTTAAAAAACGCAATTTTTTGAATATCAGTTTACTGCAGTGCTACTGTTTTGCTTCCTAGTCGATTGATTATAAAGCATCTGAAGGAATCCTTAATAGAGGGCAAAAAATATCCTTTATTTATAGTACTAATCTGCAATACATTGATGTTGATAAGTTTTTTATGAAAATTCATCGTTCACATGGAAATTCGCTGAAAGTGTCCTATAATTAGAGTCCGAATTTCTCTGCATATTTATAAACTGTTTGGGAGATTGTTGGGGCAGTTTTTTATATTTCCAGAAATGATCGTTATTTTAGTCAATGTGGCAAAGTGGACATGGACGTCGGCGTCGTGCAAGGCGTCCATTTGAATTTGTACGCTTTTTACTTCATAACAAAGATTCCGATGCAAATGAAGACCCTCCAAGTGTCAGTGAGTTACGCAATTTATCCATCGTCCGCAATATTCCTTTCGTTATACCTTTTATGCAACGAATTGAGGTACGCTCATTTATTTCTCAAAAAACTGTTTTTAAGCATATATAAAAAATGATTACCGCACTCTGAGCTATACAAATAAAACACGTACTTTTGTTTCATAATTCTGATTGTAAAATGAGTAAGTCAAAGAATAGTTTAAGTGGCTGAATTACTGTTGGCTTTCTATCGGATTATTTTCAGATTTTCACAGAATTGCTTTTGAGAGATCGCATACGAAATGATGCTGGTAGGTACAACGACTATGTTTGTAGTAGCAACAGAATTTTGGATAATTATGGAAACTGCCTCTTCTATCCATGAAATTTTTTCGAAAATTGGTTATTGCCATATCTTTTGTGATAAAGAAATATTTCAAACCGAAGAAGTGAATTTTTCAGATCGAAATGGGCATTTGATTGCTGTACATAGAGCAACTTTGTACGAAGATGCTTTTAGAGCGTTACAACCCAATAATGGTAAGTAATGAAATACTTATCTTTGTTGGGCAGTTCTTCTATTGCTATACATGTCGAGAAAAAGACCGTGAAGATCTCAAATATGCAGAATATTTACGCCGTTGAATTTTTAGTTCCCGATATGAAGTCAACAATTCGCGTACAGATGATAAATTGGTCTGGACTGGAAGAAGCTGGCGTTGACGGTGGTGGTATTTTCAGGGAATTCCTTTTCGAACTTCTTCAGACTGCTCTTGATCCCTCTCGTGGCTTTTTTGCTGCAACCCATGAACAGCTTCTCTATCCAAACCCTTTGGCACCATTTCTTTATCCTACTAATTTTGTTGATCATTTCTATTTCATCGGGCGGATTATTGCTAAGGTAATTAATTATTTGTTGAGTTTCGAGTTCCTAGTTTTTTGGAAGATGTATTAAATAAGTTTAAATCGCAGCGGTAATGTACCAAGATTCAGCAACAAACGACGAGGTGTCTATTTTCATTTAATTTTAACTTGTTCATTTGCTTATTTATTCAATTTATTCATGTTTTAATTATCTTTGTTCTAATGTTTTTGCCTAGATTTTACTGTGACTTTATGGAACGCGGAGATAACTTTTTAATCTAGTCTTTAATACAGTGATGTTAAATTAGGTAGGTTGGTTTGATTCATGCTGGTGTTTTGCAATTCTGAAATTTTAATTTATACATTTTGCAGTTAATCTATGAAGGCTTATTAGCAGACATTCGCTTTGCGGATTTCTTTTTGCTGCAGTGGATGGGAAATCCAGACGGAACAGTTCTGGACTTAGAATTAGTGAAATCATATGATCCTCTTTTGCACAAAAATTTGAAGTTTTTGAAGCGCTGCTCATTGGAAGAAATCGAGATTCTTGATCTTGATTTTACTGTTATGACCGATAATTTTGGCGTAACGAAGGTAAGAAATGAATTTTCTTGTAAGCATAATGCTCGTTAAATTATTGTAAATGATGTATCTCATCATTTTCTGCAGAAAATAGAATTAAAGAAGGATGGCGGTTGTATCAAAGTAACAGCAGACAACAGGATGGAATATATACAGTTATATGTTAATTACTACCTTTCCAAGCGAGTGAGTCATTTTGCGAATCCTTTGTTTTTTCATTAGTAAAGAAGCTTGTTTTCATTGCCATTGTTTAATTGTGAAAGTAAATTTTGAATGTCGCTTAAAAACAAATTAAATATTAAAGCATTTTCTAGCTTTCACCAATGATCGCCGCGCTTCGAAGTGGTTTGAGGAATGTCATAGACTCTGAATGGCTGCGAATGTTCTCGCCATTAGAAATTTCGATGTTGGTTGGCGGTAGTGATTCAGAAATTGATTTCAATGAACTAAAAAAATTCACAGCTGTACATAACATAAAATGTAAGGCTTGTTTGTTTTTTCACTCGCTACCCTTGTCTTCACTACTTTAATTTTGCTTAGTCGCGGTCTGCAACTGTCTCGAGCATACTTCATTTGAAAAACTTTTATTTAAGCAGAACATGATCAAGAATACATGGATCTGTTCTGGTCGATCATCAATGGATTTTCAGTTGGAGACAAAAAGAAGTTGTTAAAATTTATAACTGGTTGTCCACGACCACCTATAATGGGATTTAAGGTAATATGTCGCAAAGCTAATCTCGATATTTTTCTTCGTCACTGTTTAAAAAATAGGAATTTATGATGTTGATTTGCTTTGCAGTTAAAATGATAATTTTATGTTTGACAAGTGAGGTAGAAAACGAGCCATAGTTTTTTGCAGAGAAGAATTTACATATATTTTGAATGTTTACTATGAAAGTAATGTTGTGTGCAGTGGGAAAAGAGTAAAAATTGAAATTAGAACGAATCTTTCGGATTTGTTTTGTTTTTCATGCTTAGAATTACAAATCTCTTCGATTCACTCATAAAAATCATTTATGATTTACAAGTGTTCGATTGCATTATATTTATTTAGACTTTAACACCGCCAATGGGTATTCAGCTTGTCCATGACATCGACAAATTACCGACTGCTGCGACATGTATGAATTTGTTGAAATTGCCACTATATGATAATAGTGAAACATTGCGTCGTAAATTAATCTATGCAATAAATTGTGGAGCTGGTTTCGAACTATCGTGAATTTGTTTTGAAAGTTTTGGCTGACATGAGCATAGCTGATAGTTTTTGATTAATCCAATTACGAACGCAAATTTGAAAAATCGAAGTATTATTTGTTCAGACTTGTTCAATATTTTGGTACTAATACCACAGCTGCTTCTGAATATTACCTCTTATTCCATACCACTTCAATCATAATTAAAACGTCAGTTTGGTAATGAAATCGTGCTTAAATTAATAAAGATTTTCAATGAAATTTTTTAAACTGATTCATGTTGATATGCAAAAATTGAAGGTAGAAGATGGTAGGTTCAAATAAGTGGTTCATGCAAAGCGCATAATGGGCTGTTTGTAATAGGAATGACGTTATAAAGATCTTATACCCCCAAATTTTGAATTTAGATTATTAGCTAATAAATCTTGTGATTCTTCAGAATGATTATCTTGGTGTGGAATAAAATTTTTAAACAATGTTCGTTATGCTTGTACTTTAGTATTGCGCTTGTACTCATTAAGCTATACATGGCTTGTAATCTTTGTATTGTGCATATGTAGTGTTCTTTTTGCAGGTATCTGTAGGTATTTGTAGAATACAAAAACTTTCATTGAGAAAATGTTAAGTTTCATATTGCTTTGATGCGATTTATCGCTATCAAATGTCTCATCATTTCCTTAGATTGAAATTTTTATGGTTTTTTCTCTAAGATTCATTCTTACAGGAAGTCTTTTTTTGGGACAAATGGTAGATTATCATTTTTTTTCAATTAAGCTTTGAAAATAATCTGAATGGGAGTAAAAGTACGGATCAAACACTCAGTTGATATATCGAGCAGTATGACTTCATAATTTCGATGAGGTTTTTTCGAGATTTGCTTTCAAAATTACAGTTTGAATAAAGTTGGGAGAGAGAATTACAAATTGATAACCGTCTATACAAATTTTGGTTATTTTTAATGGAAGATTCGTCCGATTGCCTTCATCTCGATAGAGGTATTCATTATTAGCGTTTCCTTTCCAAAACCACTTAAAAATTTTTCAAGAGTGATTGATTATGTAGGTACTTATTACTGTTGAGATGTTTTGAAAGATTTTGAATATCAAAAAATTTTAATGTTTTAACCTCCAAGCTTGACAGGTCAAAAATAATACATAGTTGCAGATATACAAAGGATCATTGAATTGATCGAACATGTACAAAAAACCGGTGAATTGAATAGTCCGAAGCTGACATCGTTGCAAAATATTTTACAGTCTGATTTCTTCTCATCAGTTCGCGAAGTTTTTGAAAGTGTTTACGATACCATTAGTGCTGATAGTTCGCGAGAGGTGTAGTCCTCAAATTTCAAGAATTGAATTTTTTTTTGTTTGAAATATAGAGGTGTTCTTTTTGTGTAAATTATGTTTAAAATTTTGGTGTTTTGTTCGAACAATTTTGAGAAAATGTATTTTTTTTCCTTAAATTCTTTAGGTTAGGACAAGTGCAACTGCGAAAGCAACTGTAGCGGCATTTGCTGCAGCTGAAGGACATGCACATCCGCGAATTGTTGAACTACCAAAAACAGATCAGGGTCTTGGATTTAACGTTATGGGTGGGAAGGAGCAAAATTCCCCTATTTATATATCTCGCATTATACCGGGAGGTGTCGCTGACAGGAACGGAGAGTTGAAACGTGGCGATCAGTTGATTGCGGTAATATTTGTTGTTTGATTTAATTGGACGAAGATAATTTTAATTTTAAGAAGTTTCTATAAACATTCCGATAAAACCATAGTAATTATAATTATGACTCCCTTAAAAGATAGCGCTGAATTCTTTTATTTCGAAACATTACAACATGACAACCAAACTATAAGCTGTAAAATGTTAGCTTAATTAAGCGATTCCCTTTTTGATGTCGAAAAATAAACTTACCAAATTCTTTTTCCTTTTTTATAGGATTAAACAAAACAGGTGAAGGTGAAGGCTTCAAATTGTTTAATCAAAAAATTGCTGAGTGCATTTCAATTTTGAATATTCCAATTTTAATGTGTAAATCTTTTCTAAAGCTATTTTAGATACAATGATTTTTAGGTAAATGGAGTTAATGTTGAATGGGAAAGTCATGAAAAAGCCGTGGACTTGTTGAAATCGGCACGAGGTACCGTAAGATTGGTTGTACGATATACGCCGCGATTATTAGACGAAATGGAGCGACGCTTTGAGCGACAACGACGAAGAGCAAACCAAAACAGTCCTGCACCCATATTCAAGCGATAAATGGAGCTTAAATATTTTTATTCATCTTCTTTCATTTTTAAAAATTTTTCTCCCCCTTGAGTTATTATGAAATATTTGTGGCTCCAAAAAAAAGATTCTATTTATCTCATTTTATCAAGATTTTCCGGATGAACTAAATTGATCTTGATTAATGATTTGTGAATTTTACTAGTTTTATGTTTTGAACTGATTAACTTGTTGTATTAAATCATCGCATTTATAGAAGGATACTATGTTTTCTCTATTTCTCTCAAATTTCTAAGATTTCTATGCAGTTTCATAATATAATTGCTGTCAACATTTATAAAGATATCATTTGACTTTTTTTGCTATTTGTGTTCTCATATTGCATATTATTGTGTATAAAAATAATATGCGATTATGTCAACATCATCGCATTTATGTAAAACTGTCATTATGTATACTTCAATTTTTTTTTTAATTCTAGTAATTGCAACAACAATAGAAATTATCTCTTGTGTGGTTGCAACATAGAAATTATCTCTTCACACAAAATGAAATATTTAATAATATTATTAGAGAGAGCTCCAATATGTTTACCATCCATAATAACATAGTGGCTATTTTTATTTTATCGAATTCTTGAATGTATTGAAAGGATTTCTAAATTTTGGCTGATGGTTTAACTCTATAATGTTTTGAAAAATGTTTCGCTTTAAGAATGAGGCTGCATCTCTGGCCACATATTTTTTAGAATGATAGAGGACAATGTCACAGAGCTCCGCTCAGATTCGTAAGCAGCTTGTAAATCTGGAGAGAGATGAGAGAGCCTTACAACGACTTCATGTCAATTTTACAGGTTTTTTTTTGTTTCATACTTTATTTGCTTTCCACAAGGTAAATTTATGCCTATTATTAAAAAAAGAGAACACGACGAAAGTCTATTGGTCCTTCTTTATTCGTCGTCTTGTAATTAATTATTTAGTTTAATATTTAATATGGATTTTCTTTTGCAGTTGATATTTGAAATGTGAAGTTTTTTAAAGCTAGTAGGATAATTTGAAAATAAACGTGTGTTTCAAGTTTTTGTTTTGGTGACGATAATACCAAAGTTAATCAGGTTATTAAAAGCACAGCTTCCCATTGCTTTTTCTTACTGGTCGAATTGTGACACTTGTTATACATATATAATATGATTATTTAAGGATTAGCGCGAGCCGTACAATTAGAATCGATACGTTTGGATGCACTGAAGAGTAAAATTCAGTCTTCACAACGTACATTGAGTCCGAATATTTCTTCGGGACCAGATTGCAGTTCAGTTAAAATGTCGGATTCTTGAATCGGTGCTCTCTCTTCATTTTTCAAATATTAGATCTGGAACCTTAAAATATGTTTTGATGTTGTGGCACAATATAGAATACCATGAGTTTTGAATTTTATAAATACAAATTTTCTCTTTTGCCGAGATTTTGTCAAATTAGTAAGATAATGTGGAAATAAAGTTTGTACTTTATTATTTATTTGTTTGATGAAAAATTCGTTTGCGTACCATGGCTTGTCTTTCCATCTAATTCTATTGTTTTGATTATCGATTTTTGTATAGTCAGTATGAGATTAGTAAGCTAATGGAAATAACTCATGAAAAGTATTTCACTGCAATGTCAATATTTGTACAAGTAGACTTCAGCTTTATAAATATTATTTTTATAAGACTTTACGTCAGTAATTGATTTGTCCGAATCTCATTTTGCCATTTCCAGATATGAAAAATAATGAATAAATCAAAGATTTCAATGAAAAATTGCCGTTTGCTGTTTATGATTCGAAAAGGCTACGCGAAGGATGGTACTTCTACTGATTTGAAAATTACTGAAAATTGTGTTAATCGCCTTCGAGAAGTTGCTGGGATCGGAGAACATCTGAGAATAATGGTCGATGGTGGCGGCTGTTCTGGATTTGAGTATAAAATGAGTTTAGACAACAAAATTAATGATAATGATCTTATTTTCCGCAAAGATCATATTAAAATCGTTGTCGACGAGGTTTGTTTTTTCATTTTGCTTGAAGAACTTATAAGATTTTGGAAGAGGAGGTAAGGAAAAACTAAGACTCGTTTCCCAATTTATTGAAGTCAAGTTAAGACTCTACACCAAAAATTATGTCGCTCCATTTTCAATCAGTAATGCTTGTTTCAAAATTGCCATAAGAAATCCATTATTTTCAATGTCGAAGAAATTAAGACATTAGTAAAATTTGTAGGAGATGAAAGAAAGGCGGCACAAGTTAATTTAGATCTTAAATGCGTTTGTAAATAAGCGGGAGTTCTTCAGTTTCTTATATCATTCAGATGTCGGCAGTATAAATTAGTTTGCTTTTATTCCCACAAACAAGAGCATGATTTATTTATTTATATCAAATAATTACTAGATTAATATAAGTGTGAAAAAAATACTGGGCATTTCAGGTATAATAATCCTCTATTGCTTAAAGTATGAGACATTTCAGAGATCATTGCAATTTTTAAAAGGTGCAACAGTGGATTATTCCGAAGATTTAATGCGATCGTCATTTCGTATCATCGACAATCCAATCGCTGAGAAGGGTTGCTCTTGCGGGTCATCATTTGCCATTAAAATGGATTAGTTTTTCGTTTTCTTCCTGAAATGAGCATGTTTTACTTTGAATAAATGTCTTTGTGCTTTGGTAATTTTTTTCAAACGATGAAGCAAAGTTCATTCAAGAACAATATTTTCTCAGGTGCTAAATTTACCGCTTTTTTGAATGAAGTAACAGGTGCTACTTTTGAACTCTTTGTTGCAGTCGTTCCCATCTTGACCACTATTTGTAAAGCAGTAGGAGTTGTTAATGCATACAATAAATTGTTTTGGCAAGGCTCATTTTTTAAAAACAAAAATTGTATTTTAATCAATTCTATTTTTTGGGAAAGATACTATGGGAGGAAGATTAAGGAGTAGCAGTCTCTAATGGTTCAAGCTCATTCTTTGACTGATTGAATTGATTAAAAGTTTTATTTGAACGATGAAGAAGTTATTTCTTCTATATTTAAGATCTGTTATGAAACTGTAAGTGAAATTTCTCTTCTACTAAATCTTTGACAGGATGTTGTTATTCGGCATTTTTTTCATTATGATATTACTAACAGGACACCTTCAGGATATCTGATTGTTAAAGATGCAGGGAAGATTATTAAATTGGTACTCGTTCATATTTCGTAAGCAGCAATCGCTGACAGTACTGGTAGCCTTTTCAAAATTTCTAAGGAATCATGGCCAGACAAGCGGTCACAGAAAGAGTTATTCAAATCAAAAGCATTGGCGATGGTTTGCTCGAAGTGATGGTGTCCCTTTACTTGGCTTCTCATTTCTGACAACATTCAAGGATTTACTTGGACTGCCTCCATTTGAACTTGATAAAGATTCGCTAAAACACAAAATCAAAAAAGTAAAAATTCAAGAACTGTCGATTTATAATGCTATTATGGGAATTTTATACACATTATTTTTCAACACTTCGAGCTTTTATCATTATTAACCTAATTTTTTGTCCTATAGTTTTACTTTTTTGACAAATTATTCCGGGGATCTGTGAAACAATAACATGTTTTAACTTTTAAGTAGGTTTTGAAATATATGATGAGTCATGTATTGAATCCGTTTAAAGGCATGGTTATATAGAAAGCAGCACAAATATGACCAAGCCATGATGGTCCTGGAGGAAGCAATGCAAATGGCCACTGGACAAAATAATGAGTTGATTGTTAGTCGCATTATTGACGAATTAGCCAATACTTATTACGAAATGGGGAAATTGGATGAAGCAGAGCAGACTTTTCTTAACCTTTTGCAACGGTTTGTTCATTTTTTTGGCTTTGATATATGTCTTACACAATTTTTCGATGTCATTTGTCTGCGCAGCTGCCTCATTTGTTTAGAAGGCGTTATTTACATCGATTTCCAGTTTTTACATGTATTAGCACAGTTATCCTTTGTTTTTTGGTAAATTTCAAGCTGTCTACCACAACTGCTGAGGATAAAATATTTTTGAAAACTTTAAACAAAAATACCTATTTTCGGATATCAGTGATTCAGGTTAATAAATCTACATAAGAAACAAGATCACGATCCTGAATTTATCGATGTGAGTCTCAAATTATCCGATATATTTGCTCAGAAAGGCAGAGTAGATGATGCCGAAATTGGTTACAAGCATTGCGCTGCCAAACAAATGAAAGTATGTAATAGATAAATCCTGATGTTCTGCGTGACATATTTCGAAGTTTATATAT